CCCACTTAATAAGCAATAATATTCCTTACCAGTGGCGATCAACATTTAATCAATGAAAGAAAGAGGGAAGTGATATTTCCTTGTAGCATTGTTTAGCTTGTGGAAATCCATGCACACTCTCCATCCAGTCATAGTTCTTGTTGGAATTAGCTCATTATTGTCATTGGCAAAGATAGTCATTCCTCTTTTCTTAGGAACACATTGAACTAGACTTACCAATGAGCTATCAAAAATAGGATAAATTATTCCAGCATCCAACCACTTGATGATTTCTTTGTTGACCACTTTTTTCATGATGAGATTCAATTTTTTTCGCTGTTCAATTGTGGCTTTGTGATTTTCCTCCAGGAGAATTTTGTGCACGTAAAAAGAAGGGCTAATTCCCTTAATATTAGCTATGGTCCACCCTACTGCTTTCTTGAATTCTTTAAGTATCCTCAATAACTTCTCCTCTTGCATGTTAGTAAGAGCAGCAAAAATAATAATTGGAAAAGTAGAAGATTTTCTAAGAAAAGCATACATTAAGTGTGCTGGCAAAGGTTTAAGTTACAAAGTAGGTGGTTCTTCAATGGAGGGCTTAAAAGTTGGCATCAAAGAAGTTGAAATATCTAAAGACTCAAATTGATGATTAGTTCTAAGTTTGTAGTGGGCATTTAACAGATTTGAATATTCAATATATTCATCATCATCCTTATCAGAATTAACAACTAAACATTCTTCAAGAAGATCATTGGGATATTTTTCAAAGAAAACGTCTTGTGTAAAGTCATTTACCAAACTCACATAAAACAGTGTTTAGATGTCATAGGCAATTTTAAAGCTTTGAAAACATTAAATGTTACCTATTGGTCTTGAACTCTCAAAGTGAGCTCACCATTTTCAACATTAATCAAAGCTCTTGCAGTTCGAAAGAATGGCTTCCCAAGGATGATTGGCATTTGCCTATCTTTTTCCATGTCAAGAATTATAAAATCAACTAGAAAAATAAATTTATTTACCTTGACAAGAACATATTCAATAATTTCTTTTGGGTACACATAAGAGCAATCAGCTAGTTGTAAAGTAACAGAAGTAGGCTTGCATTCCCCTAAACCAAGTTTCTCAAAAGTTGACCAAGGTATTAAATTGATGCTTTCACCTAAATCACTTAAAGCTTTTGCAAAATATAAATTACCAATAGTGCAAAGGATTGTAAAACTCCTTGGATCTTTGAGCTTTGGTGGCAATTTATTTTGGAGAATTGCACTAAATTCTTTTGTAAAGTAGACAGTTTCAAACTCACCTAGTTTTTTCTTTTTGGAAAAGATGTCCTTCAAGAACTTGGCATAATAGGGCATTTGTTCCAAAGCTTCAGCAAAAAGAATATTTTTGTGTAATTTCTTGAAGACATTGATGAACTTTTGAAATTGCTTTTCAAGCTTTTGCTTTTGGAGCTTTTGGGGGAAAAGTGACGGAGGATGGATGACTTGAGAAGTTCCTTGATTTTTAACCTTGTCATCTTTTTTCTGTTCAACTTCAATTTTTTTCTCACACATCCTTTCCTTATCAACATGTTCATTCTCATATTCAATTGCTTGTTCATTCACCCCCTCAATTTCTTGTCCACTTCTTAAAGCGATTTCTTGGCGTTGTTCTTTACCTTTAGGATTGATTTGTGTGTCACTGGGTAAGGACCTTTGATATCTATTGTTGATGAAATTTGCAAGCAGTCCCACTTGGGTCTCAAGATTTCTCAACTAGGCTCTTGACTTTGAATTATAGCATCAGTCTTTGATATATATTGCAAGAAAGGTTCTTTCACTTGGGATTTTTTTTCAGGAAGTGGTGGCCTAGCTTGTTGTTGAAAATTAGGAGGCATGATGGGTTTTGGATTGGAAGGCCCTGCATAGTTGTTCCATGAAAAGTTGGGGTGGTTTCTTCAACTAAGATTATAAGTATTGGATTATGGGTTCTTCCACTGTTTATTAAAGTTCCCCACAAATTGTACTGATTTACAATTGTATGGACATTAATAATTTGAATGGCCCTCTCCACACACCTCACAGACTATAAATGAATTTTGAACTGCATCAACTCCTAGTGTGTCAAACATCTTGGAAAGTGCAACCACTTTTGTAGCTACTTTAGCAATTAAGGTGCCAAGTGCATCAATTTCATAAGCTCTAACAGCTTTTCTCTGACCAGACCTTTCTGAAGGCCATTGCTAATTATTTGAGGCCATTTTTCCAATAGATTATAATCATCTATAGCATTCTTACTTATTAATGCCCCACCAGCAACAACATCAATTGTGACTTTTATTAGCCCAACCAGCCCATTGTAGAATGTCTGAACTGTTGGTATATGCCTTGAAGCCAATTAGATTGGTCAAGGAATATATATTGTCATTTAATATATATTTAATCGCATACTTTTATGTGATAGAGGTTTTTCTTCATGTTAGTGCAATA